TAAACATACTCTTACCATGGAAATCCAGCAGTTGTGCTCCTTGGTATGTACCTAAGTGAGCTAAAAACACGTCCACCCCATGTATATGACAGGTTTATTCATAAGTGCCCAAACTTGCAAGCAACCACGATGTCCTTCAGTAGAAGAGCAGATAATTAAACTGTGATACGTCCAGATAATGGAATATTAGTATGCACCAAAAGGAAACAGGCTATAAGCCATAAAAAGCCATGGAGACACCTGAAGTGCATATTACTATGTGAAAGAAGCCAATCTGAAAAGGCTGCCTAGAGTATGATTCCAGTTATCTTACACATTCTGGAAGAGGCAGAACCATGGAAACAGCAAACAGCTCAGTGGCTGCCAGGGGTTAGGGGGAGGGCAGGATGAACATGCAGAGCACAGAGGAGTCTTAAGGGAGTGAAACTATTCAGTATGACCCTATAGTGGAGGATATATGTCCATCATACATTTGTCCCACAGAATGTACAGCACCAAGAGTGAACTCCAATATAACCCTATATGTTTGGGGTGATCATGATGTGTCCACATAGGTCCATCAAGTGCCACAAATCTGACTCTGATGCAGGTGAAGGGCCACGGCCTAGCTATGTGTGTGGTGGGGGTGGAGGGGTATATGAGAACTCTCTGTTTTCAGCTTCACTTTGCAGTGAACCTAAAATTGATCTAACAACTAATGTCTATTAAAAAAAAATCCCCTGAGATGGGGGGCGGGGGGGAAGCCTAAATGTTAATAGTAATTGCCTGCAGGTGATGAGGTTATTGGAGGGCTCATCCTTCATGCCTACCCTGGGCTCATGCTGCTCTCTTAGTCTCAAATACTCTTCACCCCATACCCCAGGGAGTAGTATCTACTGGTCCCTTGGGATTGAGTTTAGCTGGCATTTTCTCTGGAAGTCTTTCCTGAACTTCTCTGTGCTCCACAGAGCCTGGCTGTCCACCAAGGGCCACACGCTCCGTGGTCTTACAACAGTCTCTTACCTCATCTGTCTGCCCGTCTAGATGTGAGTCTTTGTAGAGAAGTCTGTGTTAGTTAGCCCTGCTGTATCCCTAGCATCCGGCACAGCATCAGCAACAGTCGATTCATGAGTTTTGTTGAATATATGAATATGAATTAAATCGAGACAAGTGCAGGAAAAAAACAAAATAAGCAATATAAAACTCATGGGGAAAGAAGTGAAGCAACACAGTGGAGGTGGGGAATAGCCATCCCAGCAGCGGTGAGGTCCTGGAAGCAAATGAAGGCTGAGAGAGGAATGGACACGAGTGCCGAGGGACAGGGTCAAGAGCGGTATGTTGAAATGCAGATCAGGGAAGGACAGAATGGACTCCCTGATGTGCTCCCATGACTGGCATGGTATGACACAGTGCATGTCAGAATTAATAAGCCTGTCATGGAAAAGAGGACCTGACTCTGGCTTCACTGCTGAGGGACTCTACTGTGTGAGCTAATGGGTCCAGCAGAGTCTATAATCCTCCCAGCACCACTCAATGCCAGTGACCCATCAATAGCTCTACAAACACTTTCTGAGGAATTCCTTCTAAGGGGGCGCCTGGGTGGCTCAGTTGGTTAAGCATCAGCTCAGGTTGTGATCTACCAGTAGCGAGATCGAGCCCTGGGTTGGGCTCTGTGCTGAAAGCGTGAAGCCTGTTTGGGATTCTCTCTCTCTCCCTCTTTCTTTGCCCCTCTCCCACTTGTGCATGAGCTCTCTCCCTTTCTCTCTCAAAATAAACAAAGACTTCCTTCTACATGTGTTTGTTTGTTTACTGATAGGGAGTAGAGTTGAGTCATGAGATCATACTACTGCCTTTCATTTCTGTAACTCATCAGCCCAGGTAGCCCGTCGTTCATCCGAGAACAATCATACTTTCCATTATTACATACCCTGTTTCTCTGCAAAACCAACCCTATTTGAAAGCAGGGAGGAGAAGGAGAAAAGGAACAGAAAAATACAAATGAACAAAGAGGTCTCTCTTATTTCTCCTAATAAAAATTCTGCCATGCGGCAGTGCAGTCTGGAGGCAGGTCTGCTCCCCTACATCTTTCTCGCCCACTAGTGCAAAAACATCTCTATGTCCTCTTAATCCTCAAGCAAAGCTCACACATTTGAAGAGCTTTTGGACACCCCTGGAAACCTCTGCAGTGCTCTATCTGTAGGCAAGGCCAGAATTATCGTGGGGTCAGCACTAGCCTCCAGTCTAGTCCCCGGTGCTGCCTGCACAGAGCTCTGGTTCTCATTTCAAGCCTTCATCTGCTCCAATTTTGTCTCCCACCAGAGGTCTCAACCCTTAGCTGAATTACAATTAGTTGCCCTGAGGATCCTGGGGGAGACTCGTTTCGGAGGAGGAAGCCTTCTGCTGGGCAGCATCAGTCTCGCCTGTCGTTAGCATCTATGAATTTCAGCTCCGAGAACTGCGTCTGCTCACGTGGCCCAGAGGCATCGGTCTTTTGTGATGGCCCACATTTTGTCGTACTTTGGACAGGCCCACCATAGTTCTGAAATTGTTTCTCCCAAATCTCATTTTTAAAACAATCACTGCTGAGTAAGTTTTCTTCCAAAGCTGCCTTAAGAATGCCTTCTCAGAACAAGAATGATGATTACTTTTCTGAAAAATGCAGGTTGCAAAACCTGACAGCTAATATGCAGGACTGAGGGGTGTCAGGTAAGAGTTCTCCTCTGGGGTGCATGTCTGATTCACTGAGGAAAGGGGGCAACCATTAGGGGCCTTAGTTCTCATTCTCATCTGTGAAATGGGATAGGTATCTGTTCTCTTCCTCATCTTATTAGGGTCTGGCAACGGCACCACATTGGATCGATATTTTTGCTCTCTGGAGAAAGAAATGCACTTGGAAAATGTCATTCTTATGAAATTTACCTCTTTCTCAAGACTGTCACATGCTTTTATTATTGGAGGGTGGGTGTACCATGTTATTTTTGTCACCAAGTACAACACTGAAGAAACTGGGATATTAGAGGTGCAAACCATAAGTCTAGATTGGATGTATTTGAGAATGAGCTCTTTTTAGCAAGAACTCTGCTCTTTAATACAATAGAAAAGTAATTTACTGAGAAGTGTCCTTGGGGAAAGAGAAGAGCAATGCACTGCTGCAGATGTTTCTTAGAACCAGCTGAGCTGAGGAGGGACAGGCTGCACTGGGAGCCCTGAGACAGGACTGCTGTCCCCCCTCTGCGACCACCAGCTGTGTGCTCTTGGCCTCGGCCCATCTGTAAAATGAGCAGCCTAAGCTGTAGCTGTGATCATCACACATTTTAAAGCAGTGCAGCTCCTCTTAGCGAACACCTTTTCAGGAACTGATTATATACCATGCCAGGGGAGGGACTTGCACCCCACCTGCACCTGCCACGTTCACCATACTGCCCACAGTACTCCCTGAGGCATCCTGTGCCCTTGCTGCTCTGAGATGCACAGTGAAAGTCAGTAGCCTAGACGGTCTTAAAAATCTTTCTAGCTGTTCAAGGAGAATCGCTCACTTCTGATCCAGGTGATGTTTGGTTTATTCCCCCCACTGGAGGACTAATGTCCTCGAAAGAGATCCTACCAGGTGCTGTTGTGGGTCTGCCTCCAAGACAGCTGATGCTTCAGAAAACAAGTGACTGTCTACGGCCATACCACCCTGAACGCGCCCGATCTCGTCTGATCTCGGAAGCTAAGCAGGGTCGGGCCTGGTTAGTACTTGGATGGGAGAAAACAGGTGACAGGGACCTGAGGCCAAGCACAAAGACACAGGCTAGCACAGTAACAGAAGGAGCATCTTGTCTTCTACAGCCACATGTGTCCCTGTGGCTGAAGATGGCCCTGCTACTAAAGTGGCTTTGTGGGAGGTGGGGGTAGCTGCCATGTATTTCCTTCCTTCCTCCCTCCTTGTTCATTCATTTGCTAATTCACAAACAGTTCTGAATCACCTGCTCTAGACCATGAATGATCTAGTGACCCAGTAAGCAGGATTGACAACCAATAGGTCCACAAGCAGCCATGCAACTATGCATGAAGAAGAGTGAAAGGTGAAGGGGAGGGGCGGGGGGGGGGGCACCTAGCTGAAGAAGGTGTGAAAGGAGCCAGTCATGGGAAGGGCTGGGAAGAGGACGTCCAGGTAGAGGGAAAAGCATGGGTGGATTCCAATGCAGGATGGAACTTGGCCCGCCCCATGAGGGCCCAGCTGTGGCTGGTACACAGAGAACGAGAGTGAGTGAGCATCACCCTTACTGCTGTGGCCCTCAGGAAAGACAACGGCAATGAGCCCACTTAGAGCAGGCAAGCGGTAGCTCAGTCTTCTCCTCTGGAAAACGGGCTCACTCAATCAGTACCTTCTCTGATGTACCTCTCCCTTTCCTATGTCTATTCAAGAGGCCCCAAATCAAAATATTCACATTTCCAGGAACCCTGGCAGAAAGGGATGCTAGATGTCAGAGTTCTAGCCAAAAGTCTTTCCCTGGAAAAAAAAAAAAAAAAAAAAGACTCCTGAATGAGAAGGCAAAATCTTAATTAAAAAAAAAAAATAGAGGCTTTATTCTCTTTACCCTTTCAGCTTCTGCTGGTCTAAAAGGCAGACTTTCCAGAGGTGTAGCAGCCAGTTTGTGACCATGAGGATCAGGAAGCAGGTATAGCAAAGCCTCATTCTTTGATGATAGCCTGAAGCAGCTGCACCAATCCTGGGTCTTATCATGAAATTAATGGATGAATGAACCCCTTATGTGTCTAAGCTATTGTTTACCAAGTTTTCTGTTATTTGCACTTTAGTTCACGTCTACATTGACATAAACAGGATAAAAACAGAATGTAATTCATGTGTTGTTATGAGATACTGTGTACAAGGCCATGGTCATGGCGGGGCACAGAGCAAGCATCAGTGAACGGTGGCCCATACATTTGTGCTGCTGAAGAAGAAAACCTGCCACACCTTTGCCAGTCACTTGATGGAGCACGGGGGACAGGAAGGTGGATGGGGTGGGCCCTACCTCGGTCACTGAAGTCATCAACCAGCACGATCTCAGCGATCAGCTCTGGGGGCGAGCGGTTCAGCACGCTGTGGACGGTGCGGAGGAGGGAGGACCAGCCCTCATTGTGGAAGGGGATGATGATGCTGGTGTTGGGGAGCGTCTCCAGGTAGCGCTTGCTGTTGCAGCTAGTGGGAGACACAGGGGACAAGAAGAGGTCAGGTTCGGCTTTCTGCTTCCCAGGAGAACTCAACGAGCACATGGTTTGGCTAACCACAAATCCCACTCTTTTCCAGCTTTTAGGGAACGAGTGAGAGCCAGGGGTACCTCAGTCACTTCCGAACCTCCTTCCACTCGGCATCCCAAAGTCTGGCCTCCAATTCCTGCACACACAGTACACAGGGATATGTATACAAGAGTCCCGTGACTCTGTATGAGAGCAGTTGCAAACCAAAGACAGCCGGCACTGAGGGAGCAGCACTGGGGTCTGGGGCTCTCCATGTGCTGACTTGTTTAAGCCTCAAAAGCAACAGGAACGTGCTCACCCATCCTCAGGATTGCCAGTGGAAGACAGAGCTTCAGTAAAACTCTGGCCTCTCTCCCTACCCCTTGCACATTCCTCACCAGTGGAGGAGAAACCACTTATTCATGAGTTTGGAAGAATAAACTCAGCTTCACTGGCTCAGTCCCCTCTGCTCTCCCTCCATGGCCTCTGCACGTTTTCTCCTCTGCTCTCCACCAGTCATGTGGTAAGCTTGGGGTGGGAAGCCCCGCCCTATGGGCCTTTAATACCACTGTAACACTCCCAAAGAATTACATAGTTCCTTAATATCATCAAGTATCTAGTTGGTGCTCCAGTTTCCTTGATCTTCTTATGTCTTTTTACAATTGTTTAAATCAGGATCAAGACAAGGCCCACATGCTCCCTTTAGCTCATGTGTCTTCTAGGTCTCTTTTTTTCCTTACAATTTATTTGTTGAAGACACTGGGTCATTTGCCTTACTGGATTTCCTACAGTCTGCATTCTGCTGCTTGGATTGCTATGGTATCTCTGAACATGTTCCTCTGTCCGCCCTTCCTTGGTTCCTGTACATGGGTAGTTAGATCTAGAGACTTGAACTACTTCAATGAGATACTCTGGCAAACTCTTCCTAGTGGTGTGAGCATCCCAAAGGAAAAACATACTGTCCAGTTATCTTTCCTTTTGTGATACTGGTGGCCATGGATGATCAACGTCTAAATTCCTCCTTTCACCGGGGCTTTGCAAAATGGTGATAATCTTATTCTATCATTCTTGACTTACTAGCTGGGATACTACAATGAAGAAAAATGACCACATCGACTATTTGTTTACTCCAAGGTACAGAAAAGATATGATACATTCTTGATTATCAGTTTTTAACTGACTTACCTCCCCAGTATATTCCAAAGATAGCCAATTATCTGTTTTCATTAGGAACCCATAGATGTTAACACAGTATGTTTCAGTTCAGTGCAAATATTATTCTTACTGGTTCTCAAATAAAACCATCGTTAGCCCAAGAGGGTCTTCTCAAGTTGGCTTCGAGTCCTCTGGGTATGAGCCCAGACTATTGGTAACTTCCTTGTTTTCTGACAAAATATTACAAAAGATGCTCCAGGCTTAACTTGTACATTTCCTGCCCTCACCTGGATCAGTCATTCTGGATGGAACCCTGACTCCTGATTATCACTGATATCACCATTTGGATCCTGCAATACAGGCATGAAGGGCCTTTGTTAACTACTGGGTTGGTTAAGGTTTCTATGCCTTTACAATGGTCAGAGTTAAAAATATATTTCAGTAGATTCATCATGAGTTCAAGCTAAAGTTATATCATTAATATAGAAGACTATAGAGTTTTGAGCCTTAATTTTATATTGCATCTCCTATTTAATTGAGATATAATTCACATACCACAAAATTCAACATAAAATTCACCCCTTCAAAGTGTCTAATTCAGTAGTTTTTAACATACTTCACAAAGTTGTACAACCATCACCACTATCTAATTCCAGAACATTTTCATCACCCCCAAAATAAACTTCACATCCTTTACCAGTCACTACCCATCTCCCCTCAGTCCTTAGTAACCACTAATTTGTTTTCTATTTCCATGGGTTTTCCTATCCTGGACATTTTATGCAAATAGAATCATATAATATGTGGCCATTTGTGCCTGGCTTCTTTCATTGAACATATCTACAAGATTCATCCATGTGTAGCATGAATTAGTACTTCATTCTTTTTATGGTTGAATAATATCCCACTGTATGGATATACTATAGTTTATATATATATTCATCAGTTGATAGACATTTGAGTTGTTTCTACCTTTTGGCTATGTGAGTAACAGTGGTACAAATGTTCATGTACAAGTTATTGTATAGACATGTTTTTAGTTTTCTTGAGTATACACCAAGAAGTAGAAATGCTGGGCCATAAAGTAACTCAACGTTTAACTTTTCAAGAAACTGCCAAAAAGTTTTCCAAAGTAGCAGGAACATTTTACAATTCCACTAGCAACCTCGGAGGGTTCCAATTTCTCCACATGCTGACCAACTCTTGTTATTGTCCATCCTTCTTATTACAGCCATCCTCATGGGTGTTACATGGTATCTTATTTTGGTTTGATTTGCATTTTCCTAATGACTAATGATGTTGAGTATATTTTCATATACTTGTTTGGCCATTTGTTTACCTTCTTTGGAGAAATGTCTAGTAAATAGGTATTTCCATTTTAGATTGTTCTTACTAATGAAAAAAAATACAATTGATTTTTTTATACTGAACTTGTATCCTATAATCTTGCTGAACTCACTTATTAGTTCTACTAATTTTTGTGTATGTGTGTATTCCTTAGGATTTTCTATATATAAGACAATGTCGTAAGTATATGGAGAGTTTCAGTTTTTCCAATCTAAATGCCTTTTATTTCTTTTTCTTCTCTAACTGTTCTGGCTAGAAACTCCAGTAAATGTTGAATAGAAGTGGCAAGAAAGGACATCTTGTTTTGTTCCTGGTCTTAACGGCAAAAGCTCTCAGTCTTTCACCAATAAATGTAATGTTAACATAGGTTTTTCAGGTTGATGAAGTTCCCCTATATTCCTAGTTTGTTGAATATTTTTACCATGGAAAGTGTTGGATTTTGTCAAATTCTTTTACTGCATATACTGAAATGATCATATGGGTCTTATTCTTTATTCTATTAATAAAATGTATTACACTAGTTGGTTTTCATATGTTGAACCAACCTTGCATTCCTAGGATAAACTCTACTTGGTCATGGTGTATAGTCTTTCTTATATATTGCTGAATTTGGTTTGTTGGTATTTTGTTGAGGATTTTTGTATCTATATTCAAAAGGGATATTGGTCTCTAGTTTTCTTGTGATATCTTTGTCTGGTTTTGTATATTTTAGTTCTTTAGCTAAAAATCTAGGTTTTTGGGGCACCTGGGTGGCTCAGTCAGTTGAGTGTCAGGTCATGACAGGTTTCAGCTCAGGTCATGATCTCATGGTTTGTGAGTTCAAGCTCCAAGTAGGGCTGTGCACTGCTGGTGCAGAGCCTCTTTGGCCTCTCTCTCTCCCCCTCCCCAACTCATGCGCATGTGCTCCCTCTCCCTCTCAAAATAAATAAATAAAGCCTTTAAAAGACAAAATAATTTAAAAATCTAGGTTCTTGATATTAACATAGTTACTCATTTGCTTTTTCCTATAACATGTAATCATTTCAGAAAAGCAATACCAATGTTACTGCCAACAATCTGATTGTATAAAATTTGAGATTCTTTTTGTCCTTCATTTCTTTTTGTCTATGGGGTACATTTCATTAGAGTATTAGAGATTTTCTCCGGGCCCAGAAGATGGGACCTGAGGACCAGGCAGGCGCAGAGGGAATGACAAAAGTGTCTACTTTGTCTCCAGCCAGAAGCCAGGTATGGTAGGCAGAGTAGTAGCCCAAAGATGTCTAAGCTTTAATCCCCAGAAGCTATGAATATGTTACTTTATGTGGCAAAAGAGACTTTGCAGATGTAGTTAAGGTTAAGAACCCTGAGATGACTTTGAGGAGCCTGGATTACCCAAGGGGGGTCCAATGTAACCACAAGTGTCCTTAAAGGTAAAGGACCTTTCTGGCTGGCTCAGAGAAGTGAGAAGGATGGGGTAAAAAACTGAATTATGAGAAAGACTAAATTCACAACTGCTGGCTTTGAAGACTGAGGGAGGGGCTCATAAACCAAGGAAGGTGAGCAGCCTTTCGAAGCTGGAAAATGATCCTCAGCTGATGGCCAGCAAGATAACAGGGTCTCACTCTTCACAACTGAAGTCTGCCAACAACCCAGAGAAGCAAAATTCCCCCAGAACTCCCAGGAGGGGACGCAGCCTGGTCGCCACCTTGATTTTTGCCCAAGGAGCCCCATGTTGGACTTCTGATTTATGGAACTGGAAGAATAACTCTGTGTTGTTTAAACTGCTAAGTTTATCGTAATCTGCCATGGCAACTATAGAAAACTCATACACAAGAGTCACCTGTGATACCCAGTCTGTAAACATTATTTGGAAACACTTAAAAAGTAGATCTCACAAAAAAATCCTCACAAGTCTCACCTGGCAGCAGTGGGCTGGGGTTGACAGTGGACACTCCTCTCCATGGGCCAGTTGCTCTCTGGGCCCCCTCAGCTCTTGCCTCTCCCCACAGCCTTACTCTAGAGTTGCTTCAGTCCCTTGCATTACCTCCAGGGCTCCTGGAGACCTTGTAAGTTGATAGCCCAGAAGTAAAAGAGGGAGGTCCTCAAGATTGGTAAGACGGTTTCTGGAGAAAATGTGACAAGTGGGGCAAGAAACATAATAAAATGTCTCCTTTCCTATGCCACTGTAATACATTGTTCAACTGTCCAAAGGCACCTGGGTCTCTCTGTAACGTACTTTGAAACATCTCAAAAAGGAAAACAGACTGACAGGTGGAGAGTGGAGAGAGGGATGGAAAGATATATGATAAAGTCAGTAGAGGAATGCTAACTGCAGAATCTAGATGGTGCACATGAGCGCTCAATGTGCAAGTCTTTCAGAACTTTTCTGTAGGTTTTGATAATTTTCAGAAAGAAATGTGAAGGGGAAAATGGGTCAAGGTCACAGTCCCCTTGGTTTCAGATTATACCTCTGCTAGAGCC